GTGCTCCCCTTCCCGCTCCAGGCAGCTCCATTTCCTCCTGCAGGGTCTCGGCTTACCCGTTCCTCATTAGGGCTTCCATGACCCTTCAGATGGTTTCTATCTAAGGCCCATTTGTTACCTTCACAGTATTTGTCAATATTAGCTTAATTGAGTTGATTATTGTCTGCCTCCTCATGAGACCAAGTTTCAGGAGGCAGGGACCATGTCTGTCTTGTTCATTGTATTGTAGCATAGTAATTCCTCCATAAATATTTGATAAACAAATACACGATGAATGAATATAGGTCCATTTGTGTTAAGCATACGTGTAATTTCTGTAGCCTAATCCACTTTGAGAGAATTAGGAGATAATGCATTTAAGCAGCTAGCGAAAGGGCTACAAAACTGTAAATATTACATATTACAGCTATTTTAATTACATCTAGACAACTCCGCTTGGCCCCCAAAGCATCTGTCAAGTCTTTTCCTCATGCTCATTCATTTTTTTCATTCTCCTTATTTTACAAAACCATTCCTTCCAAGTGTTGCGACAGTGGCTTCCATTCTGTATCTACATACATGTTTTTTATCCAATTAAACACTCCCCAACTCTTAAAAATGCAAGATACTTTATAGTTCCTAGCAAGTTAACTTTTACATCAAAATATTCAACAAAATGTTTCTTATTAATTCATCCCACAACTCTTATACTCCATAAAATGATTATCACACAGTACCTTAATCTCTCACCTGCTACACACTGTACGCTATCTTAATCTAAGGAGCCCTGGCAACACAGCGAGTTAAACATTGGGCTGCGAACAAAGCCAGTGGTTCTAAACCAGCTGCTGCTCGATAGAAGAACCTGGAAGCCTGCTTCAGTAAAGGTTTACCACCTTGGATAGGGTTGCCATGAGTCAAAAGAAACTCAATGGCAGTGAACTTTGTATCACCTGATACAACAGTTTATATGTTTCTCTAGTTGTTACATAGATACATATGCCCTCTCCCCTACTGCATATAAATGTATATATATTTCACTATATATGTGATATCTCTATATCTGTATACTGATACCTCCAACCTTGACCTTTCCACTACTCAAAGAGCCAAGTTAAAAAAAAATTCTGCTCAGTGTTCATTACTTGGCTCATAATCAACCAAAAATCAGACTCGGAAAACGCCTGTCTGAGCTGGGAGTCACCCGTTGCTGCAGACACAAAGGGGTGACGCTTCAGTCTAAGCCCCACTCTCACTCAGACAACACATAGTGCTTGTGTTAGTGTATTAAAACATTCATCATTTTTGTATGTTATTTGTGTAAAATATCGTAACCAAAGAAAGTGATACCAGCAGTAGAGTTAAGAGGAAAACTATGAGAACCAGGACAGACTTAAAGAAAGAGATCATTGAAAAATTTGAATCAGGTCACCACTTGTCTGATTGGCAGCTGAATACAACATGGCTAAGTTGACATTATCAACATTTTTTTAAAAAGCAAGTGATTAAAGTATCTAATGTAGCCAAAGGTGTGAAATCATTAACCATGAAGCAAAGAACATAGACCAGCTAAGAGTTTGAAAAGTTACTGTTAATTTGGATAGATCAGAAACAACTCGATGGTGATAGCATCCTGAGACAGTGATATGCAAGAAGGTTAAAGCCTCCATAGCGATTTAAAGAATTGAGTTTGACAACTGAGGTATCATTGTGTGTACACACACACACACACACACTTTAAAATTGTAAATTAGGCAGGAGTTCCAACTATGTATATTTAGAAAGGTCTATGTCTTCTATTTCCTTGCCCAATAAAGTACCAAGGACTCAGAAAATGCTTTATAAATAATTATTTGATTAAAAATTTAAGTCATTCTTATGTCTTTTGAAAGTTTTATTAGCCACTGAATATAAAGAATTCTTTGGGGAGTCATTTTTTAAATATGTTAATCAAATTATAGATCCTACTTGAAGAACCAAATAACAGATCCTACTCCTTGATCCAATAAAAAAAAAACCCTGATGGCACTGTGGGATCAGTGCTGGCCTGCTACCTTCCAGGGCAGCAGTTCAAACCCACCAGTGACTCCACAGGAGAAAGAAGAGGTAGTCTGTTCCCATAAAGATTTACAGTCTCCCCCTCCCCCGAGAAGAATTTATTTCAAAGGATGGCACTGAATCTGCAGCTTCGGGAGAAGGATATATCTGACCAGAGCACACAGGA